TTTCCACAAGCTTATGTATCTATTCACTGGATCTTTCCTGGTCTTAGTAAAATGACCAAGTGCTCAGGAGACCACAGGTACTTCCTGTATTCCCCAATTCTCCTGGATGTTAGGCCTTTTGGGATAGAGAAAGCTATAGAACTAGCCTCTGAGACAGCACTGGAAACTAGACCAAAGAGAGACAGCCTGCTTATCTTGTGGGACCTCAGTGAGTGTGAAGCTGTGGAATAAAGGAGGTAAGAAGCACACAGTGTTCCATATTGGACAGTAGGTTACTGTTGAGTTTAGAAGGTGTCCCATGTTTTTCAGGTTTTAGATTGGACACATTCCTGGTACAAAGGACCTATGACTTTTTTCTCTCCCATATATGTTCCTGTTGTGACACCTGCCCAAGGCCATGGCTTAAACAGATTCAAGGCTGAGTATGGAGGCATGTCTTGTGCTTGTGAAATAATATTTGTTATCTATTGACCGAAATGACTGGCTACCTGACCAGACCTTCTTTTTTCAGTCAATAAAGGGCTTGCTGAAAGGTGGTTTATGATTCTTGAAATATTCAATCTCTATGAAGATGAATTATTTCAAAATGTGAAAGTGGGGGTGTTTCTAAAATTAATAAAAGGGCCTGGGATTTTGTTGCCTTAACTATAGTAAGATTTTCTATAAGTAAAGAGAGATCATGAAGATTTTTTTTTAGGTTCTGTCTTCCAGGTTTCTGTGTGATGTTCTTTACTTTCTGCTTGCCAGCTAAATGTCTCTTTGGAAAAATTGGGTTTGTTTCATTTCATTCAAAACAGAAGAGGAATTAAGACACAAGACCAGGTGAGGTGGGTGCAGAAGTCTATTTCACAGGACAAGCCAGAGCTGGAATATTAATTAGGAGGCTCTCATGGCAGCTACTACTTCCTGCTTTTTATTGGGATGGGGGTTCTTATCTATCTATTTGGGGCAGGGTAGAATAGGGTAGAATCAGCGTGGTAAAGAAAATAAAAAGGATAAAATATGACAAATTGCAAGCCAAGAGTATGAGAGAGATAGATATAAATGGCTGGGAAAAAAGAGGTATAAAGGAGAGCATTTAATGAAAATTCCTACTTGGTAAATGACACTAGTCACATTAATGAAGATCTAATACCTTTCACTAATAACTAGTGAAATAAAACAACATTTTATTTCAAATTCTGCTCTCAATACAAATAGGAAGTAAAACTTAATAACAACAGCAACAACAATAATAAGAATAGCACTGGAATAAAGATAAAGAACTATGAAGATATAGTAAGAAGCAATAATATGGAGATTAAGGAAACCAAAGGAGAAGAAAATTTCAAGAAGTGGTTACTCACACATGGCAAATGAAACAGTATATTAAAAGCATGGGGTTTAGAGCAAGATAATCTGAGTTTGTATTTGTGCTTGATTAGATACTAGCTGTGTGAACTTAGACAAGTTATTCAACCTATTTATCCCATAGTTTCCTAATATGTTAAATGGAGATCATACTAGCAGCCATTTTGTTGGATTATTATTATAAGCAAATGGTATTTTGTGATGATTAAATTATACAAACTATATATAACACAGGTTATAGCTCATGATAAATGCTAGAAATTTAGTTTAAAAATATAAATAATATATGGACTAAATTGTGTCCTTTGGATTAAAAAGCCCAGGTGATTGAATTCAATGTGATCAGATATAGGATGTGTTTGAGATACAGCTAAGGAAGAGATTTAATACCCAGAACGCATCTCTTTATTCTTCTTTGAATCTAATAAATAGACTTATAGTAGAACTGAAATAACAGCCTGATTGTTTTTTTTGTTGTTTGTTTGTTTGTTTTGTTTTGTTTCTTTGCTTTAAGCTTCAGGTCCATGATTGAATTTTAGATTTCTTTATCTAGAAGAGAATATTCTTAAACACTAGTTTTATTCTAACCAAATGGATGATAGTTTAGAGTGGTGAAATGTCTACACCAAGGTCCCAGTTTATTGGTGGCATAGCTGAGGCTATAACTTAGATGGTACCTCACACCTAATCCAGTTTTCTTTCCAGTGGACTATCTAAATTGAGACAGTCTGCCAGATTTATTTCCTTAGTGGTTCTGTAGACATCTGACATATTAATACATTAGGAACAATTGCATCAACCATCTCTAAATCCTACATCTCCTGCTCTACTTTTTAATATTAGTTAATGGCATCACTATTTTTTTCCCAGATAGTAGGTCTCAAAATATTTTATTTATTCCTCATTTAACCTATTACCTGGAATTATCTATTTTATTTAATTTTTAAAATACATATCTTTGTTATCTCCTTATTTTACTTTAAAAAATAGATTTTTAGTTAAATTTATTGGGGAGACATTTGTTAATAAGGTTATACAGATTTCAAGTGTCCATTTCTAACACACGATAGGTATATTGCATTGTGTGGCCACCACCCAAAATCAGATCATCTTCTATCACCACATATTTGGTCCCCTTTATCCTTTACTAACCCTCAACCCTCTTCCCTCTGGTAAGCAAAATACTGCTGTCTGTATCTATGACTTTGCATCTTATATTCCACATATGTGAAATCATACGGTTCTTCACTTTTCTGACTGAGTTATTTTGCTTAAGATGATATTCTCAAAGCTCATTTATGTTGTGGCAAATGGCAGTGTTTCATATTTTCTTATGCCAAATAGTATTCCATTGCTGAATATATATATATATATATCATATCTTCTTTATCCAATAATATATCAAAAGACTTTTTGTTTTTTTCTATGTCTTGACCACTGTGAATAATGCTGCAACGGGCATAAGGGTGCATATACCTTTGTGAATAAATGTTTTCAATTTATTGGGGTAGATGCCCATAAGAAGGATCACAGGGTCATATGGTAACTTTATTCTTAAATTTTTGGTGAATCTCCACATTGTTTTCCACAGTGGATATACCAGTTTACATTCCCACCAACAGTGAATAAGGGCTTCTTTTTCTTCACACCCTCTTCAACTCCTGTTATTGCTTATTTTGTTGATAATAGCTGTTCTAACAGCTATGATGTGATATCTCATTGTAGTTTTGATTTGCATTTCCCTAATAGCTAGTGAAGTTGAGCATCTTTTCATATATTTGTTGGCCATTTCTATGTCTTATTGGGAGAAGTGTCTGTTCAGGTTCTTTGCCCATTTTTTAAATTAGATTGTTCATTTGTTTGGTGCTGAGTTGTATGAGTTCTTTATATATTTTTATTGATAACCCTTTGTTGGAGCTGTTGTTTGCAAATATCCTCTCTCATCCAGTTGGTTGCCTTTTTGTTTTGTTGGTGGTTTCTTTTGCTATGCACAACAATTTTAGTTTAATATAGTCCCATTCATTTATTTTTGAATTTAATTTTCTTACCTTTGGGGTCAGATTCATAGAATCCTCTCTAAGTCCAAAATCCAAAGTTTAGTACATATGTTTTCTTTCTTGCAATTTATTGTGTGTGTGTGCATGCATGTGGGTGTGTGTTTTATCCTCACCTGAGGATATGTCTAGAGAGAACAGAGAGAGAAAGACTAGCAACATTGATGTGAGAGAGAAACATCAATCAACCTTTTGACCGGGGAGCAAACTTACAACCTAGGTAAGAACCCTGACCAGGAATCAAACCATCAACCATTTGGTGCATGGGATGATGGTCAATCAACTGAACCACTCTGCTAGGCTGTAATTTATTGTTTTAGCTCTCATATTTAAGTCCTTTATCTATTTTGAATTGATTTTTTTACATGGGAACAAAATGTAGTCTAGTTTCATTCTTTCGTGTGTGGTTTTCTGATGTTCCCAGGACCATTTATTGAAGAGACTTTCTTTTCGTCATTGTGTATCTTTGGCTCTTTTGTCAAAGATTATTTGCCATACACATGTGGTTTTATTTCAGGGCTCTCAATTCCATTCTATCTGTCTATGTGACTTTTCTTCTCTCTTTTTCTTCTAATACCATGTTGTTTTAATTATCGTAGCTCTGTAGCATAATTTGAAGTATAGTGTAATACGTCTGGCTTTATTAATTTTTCTCAGGATTGTTTGGCTGTTCAGGGTCTTTTGTGGTTCCATAGAAATCTAATAATTTTTAAAAAAATTTCTTTAAAAAGTATCATTGGAATTTTGATGGGGATTGCTTTAAATTGATATTGCTTTGGGTAATATGAACATTTTAACAATGTTGATTCTTCCAATCCATGAGCATGGAATATCTTCCCATTCCATTTTGTCTTTTTCAATCTCCTTTATCAATGCATTGTAGTTTTTATTATATAGATATTCACATCTTTTGTTAAGTTCATTCCTAGTTATTTTATTCTTTTTGTTGCAATTCCAAAAGGGATCATTTATTCATTTCGTTTTCTGTGAGTTTATTTTTAGTATATAAGAATATAGTAGATTTTTGTACATTGGTTTTGTATTCTGGGAAATTTACTCTATCGGTTTATTTTTTCTCATAGTTTTTTTTTTTTTTTTTTGGAGTCTTTAGGATTTTCTATATAAAGAATTATGTCACCTGCAAAAAATGACACTTTTCCTTCTTCATTCACAATTGTGATGTCTTTTATTTCTTCCTCTTGCCCGATTGCTCTGGAGAGGATTTCTAGAACTATGTTGAATAAGAGTGATGAGAGTGGACATCTATGTTTTGTTTTAGATCTCAGAGGAAAAGCTTTCAGATTTTCACCATTTAGTATAATATTAGTTGAGGGTTTGTCATATATGGCCTTTATTATGTTGAGATACTTTTCTTCTATACCATTTTATTCAGTGTTTTAGTTACAAATGGATGTTGTGTCTTATCAAATAATTTTCTCCATCTATTAATACAATCTCATGATTTCTAGTCTTTCTTTTGTTAATGTGGTATCTTACATCGACTAATTTCCATATGTTGAACCATCCTTATGCCCCTGGAATAAATCCCACTTGATCATGATGTATTACTTTTTATTTTTTAAGTGAGAAATGGTTTTATTGGCAATATTATAATATAGTGGTAGTAGTGCATGAAGTTGTTTTATATGACAGATTTGTTTTCCTTACAATTAAACACTTCAATTGCCACATTACAACTATAATGTAAAAAATCTACATGTGGAGCTTTAGTTTCAGGTCTGGAGCAGCTGTGAAATGAAAGTTACCACACCATTCTAGTCCTTGGATATCAGTATATTGCCCTTCACCTTCCACCCTATTTTCATTGAAATTTCCAATGTACTTTTCCCCTGTTGGGAATGTATAAGTCCCAAGTACATGAAACATATTGTCCTTAAAATGTCCTTCATACACTGCTCCTGAAACATGTTCAAGTCTTCCAAAACCATTCATCTTGTCGTCTTTCCAGCTTCCTGTATAGACAATCCCATTAGGAGTTGTATGAATACCTACTCCATTTCTCTCAATGATTCCAGAAGGTGTTCTTGTACAATCACCATCATACTTGACTCCATTTGGAAATATAAAGTTTATCTTATACACCTCTTCAGTTGGCTGAGAGGTGCTAGAGGGATTTTTCTGGACTTTAAATGTATTGTTGAAGTTGATTTGCCTGTATTCTGTTTAGGATTTTTGTGTCTGTATTCATCAGAGATAATGGTCTATAGTTTTCTTTTTTTGGGTATTATCCTTGCAGGTTTTGGTATCAGAGTTATGTTGGCTTCATAAAATGTGTTAGCAAGTATTGTCTCTTCTTCAATTTTTTGGAAGAGTTTGAGAAGGATGGGTATCAAATACTCTCTCAACCCTGAACATTCCTGATTTTGTCTGCTTTCACTGTTAAGGTCATGTTTCTTGTTCTGCTTTGGTCTATTGCAAAAGCTTCCCAGAGCAACTTCTGGTAGCTGCCTTCCTTTCCTTCACTCCATCTTGCTATCTTTTAAACCATATTTACTAAAAATAAAGTATTATAATAGATACTTAAGATACTTAAGATATAGCTAAGATACATAGCCATATGGAACTTGGAAAGTATTTGCGATGAATAATACAAAATATTTAATTAAAATTTTTATAAGTGTTTTTTGGGGAACAGAAAATGAAAAATAAACATACTGCCCATTAACAAAGGCTTCTTTGGAAAGATAAATGTTAAAGTTTGATCATATTATGTTCTCCTTAAAACTCTGGTTAATATTAGAGACTTAGTAAAATTGTTGAATAATAAGTCAATTCTAAATATAGAACTAAACTAAAACCAAAGTCTTTAGCTTGATTTTTAAAACTCTAACTCTTCAAGGTACATCTACTTTCTAGTCATATTTCTGATGTCTGTAAGATAATATGCTAGATCACTTGATTTTTACAGTGACTTGCATTTATTACTTTAGCTTCTTAATTTTGTAGCTTATTCTTTCCCAAGTTAGCTCCTTGAAAGTCTAAAAATATTTATTATTATTATTAAACGATCTAATGACAATATCTCTGTGAATCATTGCACCATCCCCCTAGTTAAAGATACTGTTTTCTGTGCTATAGACATGTGATAGAGTATCTCTTATCATTATTATCCTGATTTAATCTGAGGGGTGGTTATTTGTGTTCATGTTTCTTGATACTCACAGTAGCAAAACATTCTTAAAACAGAGGATATTTGTAGTTTATATTTGATGTTTTATGATTGCTTGCTTTGCACAGTAGTGCTTTAACTGAAACACATGCATCCTGGAAATATGCAGAGAGAGAGAGAACATGGTTCTAATACACACAGCATGAATTGAATATAGCACTGTGCAAAGCCAGGACTCTCCAGACTTCTGTTTCTCTTTCTCTCCAAGGTATTTTTATTTGATGAAGAAAGACTTCATTTTAAATTAAAGGAATAATGATTTTCACTGATTTAGAGGTCTTGAGCTCACAAAAAAACCACACCAGTATTCTTAACACATGATTTCTGGGGATCCAGAGAATAAAATAGATTACTTATTAGAAATGATCAGTCAGACAAGGAGGAAAACTGTGATGTGCAAGAGCTTACAAGGAACTTTCTTGTATGATACTAAGTCAATAAGTATAATGTATTAACTGTAGTGCTTACACTAAATTATAAATCCATTAAATGTTTATTATTACAATTAGTATCACCATTATTTCCAGTAACATTAGTAGTGTTAGCCATATAATGTTGTTAACTTGCATGTCAGTAAAGCCTATCTGACTTATTATCCTTGAATCATTACTGACTATCAGTCCTCTTTTAAGGCAATTAATTCTATTGCAATGCCAAGATTCTCATTCAACCTGATAAATTAACTTTAATTTTTTCTCTCTCCATTTTCCTCTCACTCTTTCTCTTGCTTTAGCTTTTCATTTCAGGGCTCACTATCAAAGGACAAAGTACAAGATGGCAACTTCAAACCATACCAACCTTAGAGACATCTGGTACACCATGATTGGAATTCCAGGACTGGAAGAAGCACATACATGGATTTCCATTCCCATCTGTTTCATGTATATAATTGCTCTTGTAGGCAACACCCTCTTATTATATCTGATCTTCACCGAGCATAGTCTTCATGAACCTATGTATCTTTTCCTCTCTATGTTGGCCCTGTCAGATATTCTTCTCTCTACAGTTACCACACCAAAAATGCTAGCAATATTCTGGCTTCAAGATGGGGGTATTTCTTTTGGTAGCTGCGTGTCCCAGATGTTTTTCCTCCACTTCATTTTTGTGGCAGAGTCTGCCATATTGCTGGCTATGGCATTTGACCGCTATGTAGCCATCTGTAATCCACTAAGATATACTACCATTCTAACTCCCTCAGTCATTGGAAAAATGGGTATTGCATCTGTGATTAGGAGTTTCTTCATCTGCTTTCCTTTGGTTTTTCTGGTTTATCGGCTTACTTACTGTGGGAAGAACATTATTCATCACTCATATTGTGAACATATGGGCATTGCCAGGTTATCCTGTGATAGCATCAAAGTCAACATCTACTATGGAGTGATTGTAGCCCTATTTTCCACATGCCTGGATGTGGTACTTATCATAATATCTTATGCCCTTATACTCTGTACTGTGTTTAGAATTCCTTCCCAACAAGCTCGACTCAAGGCTCTGAATACTTGTGGCTCCCATGTCTGTGTGATCCTATTATTCTATACCCCGGCCTTTTTTTCATTTTTTGCTCACAGATTTGGAGGCCACAATATAGCACTCCATATACATATTCTTCTTGCCAATCTTTATGTGGTGGTACCACCCACTCTCAACCCCATTATTTATGGGGTTAAGTCCAAGAAAATTCAGGAGAAGGTTATCCAGATCTTCTCTTTGAGCAAGACATTTTGTTGATGTAGACTAAACAGCTTAGTCTTCATTTTTCTGTGTAACTCCACTAATAGAAGAGTACCTACAAGTATGTTGGACATCTTAAATCATGCCAGCACTAGGGGAGAACAATAACAGTAAAAATTTAAGTAAATGAGATCAAGAGTAAAATTTTACTCTTTTTTTTTATATTGTTCAGGGCAATATCAGACCAAGAACATCTTAGATTCTGTATAATACTAAGTTTTGCTACAACAGGCTTAAAATATAATTGATTGAGTGCAATCATTTTCACGTAATTAATAAGGAAATACTAGTTTTAGACATTGGATTACATTGTAGACTTGTGACTAAGAGGGCAATCTCTGAAGTTATACTGCCAATGATCAAATCATTGCTCCAATGTTTCTAAATATAAAATCTTAGAAAAGTTATTGTATCTATAAGTTCATTTTTTTTTGTAAATTGAGGAAGTATATAATATCTGGAACATAATAACTGTTTAATAAATTTTATAATCATTTATAAATGTAGTAATAAAATTTAGTTTGGACATTTACAGAGTCATGTTGGGTTCGGAATTGATTTAAATGTGATACAGTGGGAAAAAGTTTAATTTATGCCAAAAAAATGTTAGCATTATTGTATAATAAGTAAAAGTTGCCAAAATTGGGACATATTACCATAAGAAAATAGTCAGTTGAAACCAGTCAGAAATCTATATATCTCTCTCTATATTCTATATATTTTTAAATACTATATATATGTGTGTGTGTTATATGTTATATGACAATATATTTTGCCTTTTAAATACTATTGATTTTTCTTTCTTTCAGAGAGTTCTAATGTCATTATCTCATTAAGTGCATCTGTTAGAACGTATCGGGTAGAACAAGGGTAGGGAGGAAGTAGATTGGGATGCAGAGGAAGTTCCCTTTACACACAAAAGAAAAGTAGTGGACCCCTTTCAGCATGAGATGGGGAAGAGAAACACAGATGGAAAAGGAGAATAAGGAAGGTACAATCTTCAAAGGTCCCAGTTTCAGCTGCACACTAGCAGGCCCTCATCCAAAGTGTCAGGGCATAAAAGAACAGAAACCCAATGTATTGTAGGGGGAAGCTAAAAGAATAGGGAAATAAATTCCCTGTTTTCTGCTTAAATATCTGACGAAAATGTCCTTTTAAGATATCTCATGCCAATCTGAGAGAACAGCGCTGAAGTAAAAATGACCATGTGGCATATTCAGTCAGAAAACTGGTTTCCTTCTCCTCCACAAGGCAGCGATTGGATCTAGGAGTTTTTTCACTCTAGGAGTTTGAGGAACACAAAATCATGGCTAATGCTGAGTATTGAAGTTGCCAAGGGAGTTGGTTTGACTAAGGGGACATGATTCTATTGTCAAGGGCCATAAAAGCAAGTGTTAGAGTCAGGGAAGTAAGATAAAATGGGTCAGATTTCAGGGCTTGAGGAGTAAACACCAACATTGAGGTTGATCACTAGGTAGATTAAAGAGAAAATGAGTCAACATTCAGCTGACTGCAAGGTTGAAAATTCAGACAACCATTGACATACATAGGGTCTCTTGGAACAAGATAGCACTAAAACAAAAGAAAACAAAACAAAACAAAACAAAAATCTCATCACATCTGACTTTTCAAATATAAAGTACAAAACCTATTACATAAGATTCGGTATATCATAATACTGGCTGAAAGAAGAATGGCCTAGTAAATAATTGTTTCAACTGGTAATTAATTTGAAACTTATTTGCATTAATACTCAATTTAAAATTTCTAACTCTCACAATGACCACCACCACCAACAGAAACCAATAGAATGATGGGAAAATAACTGTAATGTAAAATAAAACAGCAGTCCCAGTAGTAAAAACCCTGTGAAACTAAACTGTTCCACCATTATTTCCTAGTGATTTAAAATCCCTTTACCTTAATTTCCTCATTTGCACAATTCAATGATTATGATTAACCTCATAGATTTGCTCTGAAAATTAACAGCAAGAAGTACTACTGAGTGCTTCCATGGTGACTGGCATATAACAGGCATCTGATAAATATAAACTAAGTATTATTTTTATGGCTATTGTTATTATGGTGATCATTGTATTATTAATAGTAAAGATATAAACATTAAAAATCAACTACCAGTTTTGAAGAAATACTTTGATAATCATAAAAAGTGTATGCTTATGATAGCATCATTTAAAGCTAAAACTATTA